ATACCATTAATGAAATTGAAAACATAATTAAAAACTTAACAATGATGAAAAGCTCAGATTCTAAGGGCATCACTTCTGAATTCTACAAGACATTTACCATTTAAACTCTTGAATGAAATTGAAAGGGAAGCAATACGCCCAAATATATTCTTGGAAGGAAGCATCACCTTGATCCCCAAAGCAGAAAAAGACCCAACTGAAAAACAAAACTATAGGCCAATCTTACTACTGAACATAGAGGCAAAGGCCTCGTTAAAAAAATCAGACCCCCCCCAATTTAATCACCCAATCCAAAAATGGACATCTGAAATAAACAGACATTTTTCAAAGAATTATAAACACCAAATAAACATATTAAAAAATGTTCAACCTCACTGGTCATCAGAGAGATGCAAATGAAAACAATATTGAGATTCCACCTCATTCCAGAAAGAAGGGTCACTATCAAGAAATTAACCAATAACAAATGCTGGCAGGGTCGTGGAGAAAAAAGAAAACTTTTCCCCTGTTGCTGGGATTGCAGACTGGTGCAACCACTGTGGAAATCAATCTGAAGATACCTCAGACAACTAGGATTAGAGGTCCCATTTTACCCAGCTATTGCCTTGCTCAATATCATCTCAAAAGAATTAAAAGCATCATACCATAGCGATATATGCGTACCCATGTTTATAGTGGCACAGTTTGTAACAGCTAAATCTTGGAAACAGCCCAAATGTCCATCAACTTGAGACCGGATAGAGAAGATATGGCTTTTTATAAAATGGAATACTTCTCAGCCATAAAGAATGAGAAACTAAAGACATGTACAACTAAATGGATGCACACTGAGGCCATACTCTTAAGTAAAATAAATAGCACACACGTGTGTAAGTACTGAATAGTTTCTCTGGTGTGAGAAACTAAAAGTGTAAATAAGGATCAAAATGTATAACAGATAATGGGAAACGGGAAGAAAAGATCCAAGTGGGAAGGGGAAAAGGAAATGGAAGACGTACAGGAAAGGTAAGAAGAGAAAGGAAAAAATATAAGAAAAAAATGGAAACAAAGACTTTGTAAATAGGGAGGGGTGGAGGGTTTGAAAGGAGGGCAAGGGAATGGGGGAAAAATAAGAACCAAGATATATTGTGTAAAGGTACAAATTCCCAGTGATGAATGTCATCCTATTGTGTACCTAAAATGTATCAATAAACAGTGAATTAAAAAATTGAAGGAAAACTTGGAAATAGAGCTTTTGCAAATAAGGAACAGAAGTAGGGTTGGAGGGAGGGAAGCAGAGGGGAAGGAAATTAAAAAAGAAACAATTAAGATGTGTTATGTAGATGTACAAATTCCCCATGACAAATGTGATCATTATGCATTGCAAACATGTGTGAAAGAAAAAAATTTAAAAAGTAAAAAACTAAATGGCAAAAGATTTATTAGAAATGAAAAAAATCTGTGGACATAAGATACCCAAGTGTTACCAAGTTGTGGTGCTAGGGACCCCTTTCAGAGACTTTTTTCCTACATTCTTCTTGATTTGAACAAAAACTAGTCAAGACAAGAACAAAGGGTAGTGAGATTTGACATTTATTACAAGTAATAGAATAAACATGCTCTTCAGGGTGAGTGTGAGCCAAATAAAAGTAGGAAAAGCGGAATACTCTACTGGGTGGGAGAGGACCACCGTGAGAGAGAACCTTGGCTCAGAGATTAATGGTAACCATCTTTTGTATCTCCCACTCCTTGGACTGACATCAGGTCTAAATCATCCTATCAAAAATTTGTGTGAGTTCTCATGCAAAGAACTGAAGTTAGGACTTTCCCATAGGATCTGTTTTTCTGCTCATGTCCTGGCAGGCTCCTTTGCTCAGTCGGTTTGCCACACCCTGATCTCCTTCCTCAAGAGTGTGAGCTGGAGCATTGGGTCATTTGGTTAGGTGTTAGAGCATCCAAAAGTGATGTCAAGTGTCTAGGCAGAGACAGAGCTTGATTTCTGCACATAAACTCACTCCCCAAGAGTATCAATTTCACACTGTATAAAGAATATAAATTATATACACATTCACCCAGTTTTATAGCATTGGTAAACAAGAGAACGCATTTTTTTCTGGCAATGTTCAGCCTTACAAATAGAAAAGTAGATAATTTCAGTATTCTGGTTTGGAAGTTTGGGACAAGTGTGGTGGAAAATAATAGCTGGAAGGTAAAAATTTCACCAAGAAGTATTTTAGGTGACTAAAATGAAAAAAGAATGACATTAGCATTTTTTGGAGGGCAGATCAAGGTATGGGCTTGGAGACTCTCCGTTCTCTCTTGATAATGTAAATGAAGGATGCTATGAATTACTAGGACAGAGTTTGAAAATAATGAGAAAAGAGTCAAATATCGAGCAAACTGTGTCACTCAAAATGTCAGTGTCAAGAATTCCATTGTTGAAAAACTCACATCTCAGATGAGGCTAAAGTAGCACTAAAAATATTTATTCATAATAATTATATTTTTATTTAAGACCTCATACAATTATTTTTACTTTCTACTTGAAATGCTCCAAACATCCAGGCAAATATAACTTTTTATAATAGGTTAAGACATTTATTTCCAGGTTTTTATAATACAATGAAGCGCACACCCATCTGAGAGCATGGTTTCTTAGTTTGGGTTGGACCCAAAGAAGGGTTGTGAAGAGACAGTAGAATATTTCTTCCATTTTGCAATGAGGGTTTCCGTTTCAAAATAGCAATTTTAACTCAAAAATTTAAACCTCTTCATTTCAAAACTGCAGTGTTTATAAATCAATGCATCAAAACAAGAAAACTATGTATATTGATATCTATAACAGCTAAGATACTCTCTTGGCTAGGACACCGGGGATGAAACAGTGCAGGTAGACAACCCTGAAGAATGTATGACTATCCAGAGAAATAACACAGATAAACCCACAAGATAACAGTAATTGGTAACACCTGCAACATTCTGCTACATGCAAGGACTGGGGCCAAACCACTTGGGTTAGTTCAAAAGTCGTTGGCAATTGCATCAGTAGTTTTGTATGAGGAAGACTTCTTATAGGTTTTTGCTGTCATACTTTTCCTGACACACACTCCTGTATGAGTCAATACTATCTGGTATAATAAACAACCCCAAAATATCAATAATTTAAGCATGTTAATACTATAAAGTATTTAGTGGTCATTTAGTTTTTCTCCTTTGGTTTAGCCCCTTGCAACTATGGTATACAGGGCACCCACAGTCCTTCTCCTATGGCCTCTCCATCTCCCAAGACAGGCACAAAGTAAAAACTACTCATATTTTAAAACTCTATCACTTCCTCTTCTTTGACTATCTGGAAAAAGCTTTCTTTGTTATCAGATGAGACTATTAAATCAGATACCTGACCTATTCATGCCCATTACCAAAAAAGTCTTTTCCTGTTAACACAATGTGTGTTACTCAACAAAACAGACACAATGGAACAATAACGTATCATAGCCACAGGGACCAAAACTAGGGGAGGAAGCACCTTCAGTGGGCCATTTCAGAAATTTTGCTTCTTACAGTGACATATTTCACATAACAAATAATTATTGAATTGTACATAATTATGTTATTATGAAGCCTGCATGAAATAACCAGAATATGTGTAGAATCTAGCAGATGATATGTATTCTTTGATGCTGTTGCCATTATCCTACTATGCTTCTGAAATTATCATAGTTCTGAAATTCTGTCTGCCTAAGTTTATTGTTTCAGTTTATTTTATAAGCACGTTGGATATAAATCCTCTTCTTGGAACACTTTCACTGTTTTTCATTTTTTTAGTTTTGAGAATGTACTCTCGAAACGCTAAGATGATATATGCATCTCTTGGCCAACTCCCATAATACAGCATTAACACGAGGTCATTTGAAAGCTCCCAATGTCTTAACTAAGATTTTCTTGTAGCTAGGACATAAAACCTGAGTCTACAACTTAAAGCAGAAAGTTTTCGTTATTGTTGTTTTATTTTTAGCTCACAGTTACAGTCTGTAGTGGCTGGCTCCAAGGCAGGATGGCAAGGCAGAGAGGCTGATGGTCAAGAAGAGCTACTTGTGTGACTGGACTGACAGGAAACAGAGAGAATCATGGGAGGAGCCAGGAAGAGAGAAAGACCCTTTTGGCCACATCCACAGTGATCCGCCTCTTCCCACCAGACCCTACCTCCACTGCTAGTCAGCCCATTATCCAGTCATCTTTCAAAAGCCCTGCCTACAAGCACAAGAGGCTTTGGGGGCATTTTGACTCTAAATCATGATATCCACTAAAATGTTTGCTGAGTCTAATAGAAGGTTAACAGTATAACTCAACCAAGTCTTAGAAAGTCATGTGTGATTTAGAAGGTGAGCCTTCTAATAAAGTGATAAGTGTGTTTTTTTGAACTTGGCTCATTGCAAGGGCTTCATTGCAGTACTCATTTAAGTAACATGAAACGTTATCATTATTGTGCTGACTTATATCTACTCATTTGTAACTTATTAAAGTTAAATAGAACCCCTGCTTGTGTCTCCTTAAAAATAATAATCTGGATCTCACTGCTTAAGTTTCCATGTGAATTTTCTCTTAGGTTGAGGGTAGTTGTTTTTTGAAGTCAAAGTGCAGGGTTTTTGTTTTGTTTTTTGCATAACTGTCTTCAGATGTTCAGTTAGCTAATAACAATCATGGTGGTAATGACAACAACAAAAAAAATCACCTAAACCCGAGTACAGATTATCGTGCTGGTTTTCAGATGCTTCAGGGTGACAAGTTGGACAGGTCATAATGTATGGAGATACAGTAAATTAGAATTATGATATTTAGTGCCTCAAAGAGTACCCTTATATGATCAAAACACACAAAATCAGAAATATATCTCTCTAAAAATACTTTAACAGCATACACCTGAAATCCATAATAAATATGCTCATTTTACTGGCTGGGGATTTAGCTCAGCGGTTCGGTGACCTGCCTTGCAAGCGCAAGGACCCGAGTTCAATGTAAATTAGAATTATGATATTTAGTGCCTCAAAGAGTACCCTTATATGATCAAAACACACAAAATCAGAAATATATCTCTCTAAAAATACTTTAACAGCATACACCTGAAATCCATAATAAATATGCTCATTTTACTGGCTGGGGATTTAGCTCAGCGGTTCGGTGACCTGCCTTGCAAGCGCAAGGACCCGAGTTCAATCCCTGGTACCAAAAAAAGAAAAACAACAACAACAACAAAAATGTGCTTGTTGCAGGGCTGTGGTACACGGTTACTTTACATCTTCATTCTTTATGCTTCCCAAGCCTCACTTTCCTCCCAGATCCCCTTCCCTTCTCCACAAAGACCCCCTCCCTGTTTCTTGTCATTTATCTTTTATTTTTCTCTTTATGTTATTTATATGTTGGGTTTTTCACATCAGAGAAACCATCCGATATTTAATTTGTATGTAAAATATATACTGGAAAATGTTCACCAGCTTGACCCTTCAAATCCTTTTTGTGTTTACCTTAACACATTTTAAATTCCCTTTTTAGTCACAAAAGACCAAACACTCTACAACGTAGAGTGTTAAAATGACAGAAAAGGAGTCAGGCAATTGAGTACCCTTGAATAGTGAATTACAAGAAACAAGAACCATGCTGCTGGGCAATCACTTCGTTCTCCTTCCCCTCCAGTTAATATTACATCTTAATTCTACCTAATCGAAAAGATAAAATAGTCAATGCTGTGAAGTTCAGGGAAAAAAAAGCAAGCAGTCTCAGCCATGCAAACAAATCACCCTAAGTGCTCTTTTAATTTAACACTGTGTGAAACGGGACGTGCTTGTTAGTACCTGGCTGCGTACCTGGCCTCACTGACTGTCCCCACCCACCCCAGCATGAGTAACGTGATGGAGAAAAGGTTACCACAGTTTCAGAAGTATTTTGTGCTATATCCGAGATAAGGCCTATTGTTGCTATAAAAGAGTAACGAGCATAAACAAAGAACGGATATCTGGAGCTTCAAGGCTCATCCTGTGGGAGGAGTTTCCACTTCACGGACGGATCCAGTTCCTCCTCAAAATCATCCAGCTCCTGCTCCTTGGAGAGCTCCAGGAAAACCTAAAAGGGAGGAAGGAGAAAAGAAGAGAGACGGATGTCACGCTGTCTTCCACAGCGCCGAGTGAGTACGAAGCACAGGGATCTGACGGTCTCTGTTTATATCCCTTGGATGAAATCAAACGATGGAAACTGCCTCACCTGCTCCAGGGTGGACTGCGAGAGGCTGTACTCCTCCACGTCGAAGCTCTGTTTCACTGCGCAGAGGTGAAGAGACATCAGAGATTTACATATTTTAAAGGAGGTCGACGGAATCATTGTAAAGAACAAACAGCAAATGAAAACAGCGGTGCTGAGTGATGGGACAAACGTTCCTAGGAGGGGCACGTTATACGGTTTAAATATGCACACATGTTCGCTTAGGTTAGGAGAGGGCCACACCTGTGTGAGATTATAGAGCTTTAGAGATCTGCTTTAGGAAACTCTGCTGAGAAGGCTTCCTTCTCTGCTTCTGAGCTGTGATTGAGCAGCCTTGACACAGGAACAGATTGTGAAAATGAGGGGCATTTTGAAATTAACAGCATGAGCGTACCAAAGAGAAGACACCGGTGCTTTTTTTTTTCAAGGAAAGATGTCTTCCTAGGGCTTTTCTAGAAATCACAGCAACCTGTCCCTCACAAGGCTGGGCATTCTTCTGGTTGACCAAGTTAAACTGGGAAGAACAGTTAGAGTCTGCATAACAGCCCAGCAGACGGGCTTTTGGCAGAACTATGACCCCAATGTCCCAGGCTAATAATGGCTCCAATGTCAAGGTGTTAGTGATCACACGGCCTGGGGAGTGGAGGTGCTCAGCTGAGGATTGGAAAGATGTATCAGGATGGCCTTGGCTGCTGTCAACAGGGGTAAGAGATACTTCTAGAGCCAGATGGTGAGAACTTCTTCCTTAAGTCAGGTAGCAAACAAGCAAAGACATCACTGAGACATTGGAGCAATGAAACAAACTGCTAGGAGGGACTAAAGCAGTGTACTTCAGTTCAAAGGGAAGCCACCAGTCGAGAGTGGGTTATTGCTGGATATGCGGTAGGTCTGCTTCTTGATCTTTGCCCAATTCCGTAATACGCACTGCAAAGTATAAGCCTTAAATATGGTGTCTGCAGTGAGTGTGTATCTGTGATCTAAAAGCCTATAACCACTTCACTGTATAGTAAATGTCGTCTAATCTTGTCCTATGTTATGTGCCAAAAATACAACAAATACTAAGTAAAAATTGAAAACCACCCATTACGCCATTTCATATACAACTACGCTTACATAACCTGTTCACCTCATTGGTTTCTTGCCTCTTTTAACATCAAGATTTAGCACAGTTTTATCCAAGTTCAGTTGGTCATTTCTACAGGTATTCTGTTTGGGAATTAACAGTTCCTCAGTTTCACTCAAACTGGCCTCTCTTACCTGTCTCTAATTTGAAGAAGGCCTGTGATAAAGGTTGCACATCTTCTACTGGCAATTTATAGACCATCAGCGAAGAGTACCTGGGAGGAGAGGAGAACGAGTTGGTCTCTGACCGTGCTGGCCATCACTGTAACCTGACCAAAGTCTATGGAAAATGCTCTGTCTTTTTAAATTCCCATCAATGAGAGTGCTTGTCATGCTAGGAACTCTGAGAGCAAAATCACAGAGTGAAAGCCAGGTGACAAGGAAGGCATATCGAATGCACTGCATACCATGCCCCAGTTTAGTGTCTCGGCCTCCTCGATGGGGACAATGTAGGCCCAGGTCAGTGACATTTTAAATCTTGCTTTTGCCGCCCACCCCCAAGAGGGAGCTTAGGGTTCTCACCCATCCGATAATTTCCTAAAGTTTCCAAATACAGTAGATTCCTTCCGTACAAAGCCATCCACTCATTCAGCCCCTTCCCTCCCTCAAATAAAGCTGTGTTCCGAATGTGGGAGAAAGCAAAAGGGTCTCTGAGGTCAAAGCAGACGTCTTCAGGAATGAGGCACCACGTGCTGGTCAGGAGGGCCTTATGGTCAACAGTTGCTACTTGGGTTGATGTCAGTCTCCTCACTGATCAGAAACAATTGGAATGTGACTCCATTTCAAAGGATTTATTTTCTTGCATTTATGGAACAGTTAACCCTGCCCACAATTACTTTGTTCCCATTAATTACTAGAAGCTTGGGAAACAAATTTAGTAACATACTGCACAGGTTTTAGATAACGCCCTGAAAAATAAATAGCTCTTGCTGTTCTGAATTATTTCTTTCATTGTTCTGATTTTTCCCTCTGTAATTCATAGTTTGTGTGTATTATATGGAAAATTCCAGGGGGAAATATTTATAATTTTTCCAAGGAGCATGCCATCCATGAACTTTTATATAAAATCAGGGTAATTATGAATCTAGAATAAAATTAAGGGCTACAGTCTAGTTTTACCATCAGCCACCTCCAATCTATGACTTCATCTTTTTAGTATGGAGCTTTTATTCATAATAATATTAATAAAATCTGCTTACTGGGAGATCATCATGGCCAGCTAGGTAGCAGCAGTGAGGGAGAGAGACTCTGTTACACTCACAGGAGGAAAGCAGGGGGACAGCTGAAAAACCAAATTTAGGAAAGTAATCAAAAGGAGAAACTCACTGGACCCAAATCCAGCATCGGGAGGGGTTAGAAATGGAAGCCCATCGCAGCCTCCCTTACAACCCAGGAATGGCCTAGACATCACCTTGGGAGAGGATCTCCCTCCGGAAGGAGGGAATCAGCATTTCAGAGGTGGCGTGGCTGATGGAGTAGTCGCCCGATTACTCTGCCCTTCCCATGGGGAAGAGAAGTAAAGCCAGTGTGATATTCGCAAACCAGAGCATCAGAGAAATTAAAAGCCAGAACGGTGTGTGAGAGGACACCAGCAGCAAGTTCTGGGGAATTTGAAGACAATGGTGCCGCTCTGATTAAAGGTCAGAATTTGAGCAAGGAAAAATTGGCTTCAGGGCTGCAAAAGCAAGCAGTGTCTGAGAAGGGTAGGATTCTGGGGTGAAAGAAGCAGCTAGAGTGACTCAGAAAAAATTACTTGCCCATTCCATCCCCGTACACTGGAGTATTGTGCTTACAGGACATCTCATAACTCACTAGCAAACGCCCACAGGGGAGCCCCAGAAACCCGCCTCAAGGAACTGCTGCAAGCAAGGAGTCCTGGGACTTTTTCCAAGTCACAGGTGAGACAGTGACACTTTGTGGAAATGGTCTAAGGAATGACTGGGGATGGAAACACAGAGAGTGGAGTCTGTGCCTGGAGGTGTCTGGGACGTGCCAGACGGAAGCCACCCGGAGGGAAAACACGAGGTGAATGTGGGATTTGCTGTGCAGGAAAAGCAGTGTGGAGCGAAAAGCCTTTGGCAGAAGTTTGGAGAGGGAGAAGCAAGTTGTGCACCTACAGTTGAACTCAAGCTGCAATGTAAATGGGTCTACGAGGATGCTTTGATTTTGTGCTTTTAAAAATGTATATGAGTTTTAAAATTTTTCTTCTACCCTCTTTTTTATTACTGTTTTCATTTTTCTCCTCTTATTTTTTCTTCTGTGACTCTTTCTTATCTCTTTATCTTCCCTTCCTTTCTTCCTCTCATCTGAGATAGCTTGGAGATACAGATATAGATATAGAAAAATATAGATATGGTGTCTGCACGTGTGCAAAAATGAACTGGTGCTTTAATTTCAATAGTATGTGTCGTGGCCACGTCAAGATAACCCTCCCCCAAATCGTTCATAGAGCATCAAACCATAAACTAACTCCCAACAAAGTAACAGGCTCTGACAATCTCACAGCTTTCCTCAGGCTTCAGGTACAACACTCACTCTTTACTCAAGCTATAAAAATAATTCCAACAGAGTCTGATCTCCTATTGTTTGCCTTTTGATATTTCTCTTCGTTTACTCTGTTTTTACTGACTTAACCCTTTCTTTTTCCTCTTTTTTTTTCTCTCCCTACCCGCCACATCTTAGTCTGTTGGCACCAGTAGAATTCAGTCAGTAAAGGAGCAATAATAAAAGAATGAAATCGTAAAAATATATATGATTTATACATTTAATGAATATGATTGATGTATGTTTGGATCTGTTGACAATGTTTTAACTAGTAGAGATTCTCTCTTTGCTAGACAGTGACCAGGTCTGATCTTACTAAGTGGAGTAGGTTAAAGAGGTAGATGAACATTCAAACAAAACAAAACCAAGAACACATCACTTGAAAATAGACACTAACTAGAGTGACCTCCACAATAGCAATAGATAAAGTCTTTCTATTCTAACTTATCCTTAACCCTCAAAACACACACACACACACACACACACACACACACAAAATAAAGTCTTTTTATTCTAACTGATCCTTAACCCTCAAAACACACACACACACACACACACACACACACACACACACACACACCATGAGAAGAAAAACTGATACAATGCCTCCCAACTCCCTTAAAGGAGATCCATGGGCCTCAATGAGGAGGAAATAATAGACCAGTGTGATATAACTAAAGCGATAATAGATTTAATAAACAAAATTGTCAATGAACTTCAAGAAGATACTATTTTTAAAAAACTATCAGAACTAATTAAAATGATTCAAAACATGAATGATCAACTCAACAAAGAATTAAAGTCCATGAAAATGTACCAAACAGAAATACAGGAGATAAAGAATTCTAATGAAAGTATAGGAAACAGAAGCGATCAGTGTGAGAAGAAAGTTTCAGAATTAGAAGATTGGACTGGTGCACAGGAGCATACACTCAGAGATACCTTTAAAAAACACACAGTGGATCATGGGAAATGAATCCAACTGCTACCAAGTGACGCAAAAAAGATTAACCTGAGATTAATTGGAATTACAGAAAGGTCAGAGAACAGCACAGATGGCTTAAGTAATGTTTACAGAAGTCAGCATAAAACTTCACTAGTAAGAAAGAATTCAACATGTAAGTAAACAAGGCACATAGAATCCCAGAGAGCCATGGCCAGAAAACAGTTATCTATGAAAACTGACAGTCAAAATTCCAGAAGTCCAACACAGGATAGAACCTTTAAAGTTATTAGAGGAGCACAGCAAATCACTTATAAAGATAAAGGCTTTAGAATTACACCAGACATCTCAACCTAAACCCCAAAGGCCAGGAGAAGTTTAAGTGAAGTGTTTCAAACTAAGAAAAAAAAATATCAGCTCAGACAAATATATCCTGCAAAACTGTTCCAGAATTGATGGAGGAATAAGCACTTATCATGACAAAGAATACCTTAAGAAATTGCTAACCCCCAAACTAGTATGGTATAAAATTCTCCAGGACATCCTAGACAGAGTATATAGTCAAAATATATGATGGAATGAAAACATCAAGCAGGGTGAGCAGTCAGGCAAAAGTGAGAAATAAAGGAATCAGCAACAGGAAGAAAAGAAAAACAAAATAGCAACAAGTCAATGCCTTTCAATAATGACTCTCATTGCGAATGGTCACAACTACCCAATCAAAAGACACAGATCAGCAAATTTGATCAAAGAAACAAAACTTAGTGGTAATGCTACATACCAGAGACACATTTAATCCAAAAAGTAATTCATACACTAAAAATTAAAGGATGAAAAAGTATACTCTATGCAACAGGAATAAACAACAACAACAACAACAACAACAAAAAACAAGCAGGAAATCAAATAACAAATGCTGACAAGGCTGTAGGGAAAAAGGTATCTTTCTACATGTTGCTTAGAATGTAAACTAGTTCAACCACTAGGGATGTCAGTAGGTAGATTAATCAATAAACTGAAAGCAGAAATTCTATTTGGTACAGTTATTCTCCTTCTAGGAATCTTCCCCCAAAAGCTGAAGACTTTATGTATATAAGGGCATAAATACATATATCCACTATGTAGGAGCATAATAGCTAACTCTTGGAAATGACCTATATATACATTAACAGATAAATTGGCAAAGAAAATATGGTAAATATACACAACAGAGTGCGACTCAGTCATAAAGAATGATAAATTTGAGTCATGTGTTGTAAAATGCACCTTGAAACCACGTTAAATGAAGCAACCAGACACGTAAGCATAAATATTACATTGTTTCTCTTATATGAAGAACCCAATGTATAACTAAAAAGCAAAAAAAAAAGAAAAATATTATGAAACAGGGAGAAAAATTACTGCACATGGGAAGAGAAACTAGATATTGAGGAAAGAACGAGGGAAAGAAGAGTGATGAGAAGTAAAAAAAAAAAAAGTACCAAATCCCCACAATGAATGTAATTATTATGTATAGTAAAACATGTACTAATTTTAAAAAAGATCAGCAGAACACCTAATATTTGAATTTTGACTGGCTCTTGAGGGGTTTAAGTATAAAGAACATTGTTGATTCGCTTTTTTTCTTTTCTTTTCTTTGTATTGGTACCAGGGATTGAACTCCGGTCCTTGTGCTTGCGAGGCAGGCCACCAAACCGCTGAGCTAAATCCCAGCCTCCACACTGTTGATTCAAATGGGAAATTTTTTCCCTAACTTTATTTGGAAAACTTATCTAATATTATTATATCATGTTAGATTTCTTGGGCATAAAGCTATCTTGATTACATAGAATCTCCTAGTTCTGAGGAGATACACGTTACCACCCTGAAAAGTGAAGTGTCATGCTATCTGTAATTTATTGTCAAATGGTTGAAAAAACTTTAAAATATATTCTAAATCCAATGTGTTATTCCAGATGCAAGGCAGGCAACTGCACCACTGAGCTAAATCCCCAGCCCAGGATTCTGTAAATAGAAAAAGACATTAATAGAAAAAGTAGTGAAATCTGAATGAATCTATAATTTAGTTAACAGTACTGTACCACTGTTAATTACTTAGCTTTGAAAAGTGAGCCAAAGTTATGCAAGATGTTAATAAGGAAAACTAGGTGAAAGTTGTACAGGAAATCCGCACTATAAATGCAACTTTTCTGTATATCTATAACTATTCCAACATAAAAAATTTGTTTGAAAAAAATAAAATAAAATTCGCTTAGCGAATTCCCTAAAAACACCAGCTCATTACCCAAGTTATTCATTGGAATAACAGTATCTACTTTCATTTTTTATGTTGTTTTAATTTTTTGAGACAGGCTCTCACTATGTAGTTGAGGCTGACCTGGAACTCACTATGTAACCCAGGCTGGTTTTGAATTCACAGCGATCCTCCTGCCTCAGCCTCCTGAGGGCTGGGATTACAGGCGTGGACCACCACGCCTGGCTTAGTACCTACTTGAAAAAATCTGGATGCTGACTAGATGACAGGTCAGGAGCAGCACCTAGCACACTGTAAGCCCACAACACATGTGACACTGCCCTCTACGAATTCTATTTCTTTATTTTTGTACCGGGGATTTAACTCAGGTCCTTGCTCTTGTGAGGCAGGTGGTGGCACCACTGAGCTAAATTCCCAGCCCTCTATTTCTTGCCGCGTCCCACGAATACAGTATTTACTTTGTTTTGTTGTTTTGTTTGTCGTTTTCTTTCGGGTTAAATGTGGCCCCCAGGGACGGCAAAGCAAAACTGTCAGGAGAGAGAGAGTATTTGCTAACAAATTGAAAGCTGACACCTGCTTTACCTTTCCTGCCGAGCAGCCTGGGAGAAGAGCCTCAGGATCTCTGTGTGGAGGGGCTCCACATGGGCGGGAGTCCTCACCTTCATTTCCAGCAGGTAGTCTTTGCCAAATTTGCTTTTCAGGTGTTGGATGGAACCGATACACCTGGAGCAGAAGCAGGAATCGAAAGTGGACAAGACACATGAGGGAAGAATGTCTAAAAATATGCTCAAAACTGCTAATTAACCACCGTCCCGCCACTTCAGAAGGGAGTGGCATAAGTGTTGTCAGCTCTCGTAGCAGTTCAGGTGTAGGCTGGGCACTCACCGCAGCCTTCCGGACACCATGATGGCCACGCGGTCACACACAGCCTCCGCCTCTGCCATGTAGTGGGTGGTCAGGAGTGCGCCTCGCTCTGAGTTTCGAAAGGTGGCCCGGATTGCTTTCCTACATCGTCAAGAGAAAATGTACTCTTAATGGAAGTCTTCTGGCTCATCTGCAAATGGTGGAAAGGAACTTTTCACGTGGCAGAAGAGGAGAAATAATAAATCTAGAGGCAAGAGGGAGTCAGGCAGGGTGAGCATGAGCCAATCCATTTGGGCAGGAATATTGGTGAGTTTCTTGGGTTTGGTTTTGTTGGAAGGGGTAGAACTCAAACCCAGGGTCTAGCACATGTGAGGCAAGTGCTCTCCTACTGTGTCGCGTGCCCAGCCCTAAACTGGGGACTGTTACTAAAGGAGAGCATGGGGAAAAACTCGATAGAAGGATACATGAATGGAAAGTTTGAGCAAAGATAATCATACATGAGAAGACAGATAAAAGGGAGTGCATGCCCAAAGCATCAGGACCTTCATGGCTGAGAAAGAGAAACAGAAAATGTCTGAACAGCAGCATTGAGAAACCCCAAACTTCCCAGGCCAACTAGATCCCTACCCGCAAGCTCTCTGTTAGTCACTTGCTATTGTACCAACAGAAAACTTTTACAATACCAGGCTGAACAAGCAAATTAAACACTGAAAGAGTACTGAATTCTGAAAAGCTTACTTTTCCTCAATGAGAACTCTGAAAAGTTTACTTTTCCTCAAAATAAAGTACCACAGAAAGAACTTTTCTGGCCAAGTATTAATTCCTAATTACATAGATAATATTTGCAACACTTCAAAACAGTTTGAAGGGAAGCTTTTCAGTGCGTGTCTAACAGCGTCAACAAAATCTAAACATCTCCCACAGGAACCAGCTCGGTTCCTCACCATATCTGCTGCTGGCCCTCAGGGTCCATCCCGGTGGAAGGCTCGTCCAGAAGCACCACTGACGGGTTTCCCAGGATACTCAGCACAAAGCAGAGCTGGAAGGACAGGGGCAGCCCATTGGCACCGGTGGGTGAGCACACAGGGCTTGCCAAGCCCTCGCATACCTTCCTCTTTATTCCTTCTGACAAGGTCCTCACGGGCGCCTGCAGCTGGTCCTGAAGCTTGAGCGCCTCCACCAGCCTGAAGGGGACACAGCAGAGCTTTACCATCACAGGTCCAAGATGTGGGGGGTGAGGGGAGGGTGGGCCCAGGGAGAGCAAGAGTGCAGGAACAGAGCCCAGACGAGAGGTTCTGGAAACACCCCGGGAGGGTGGGTGCTCCGAATGTGACAACTGATCTGATGCCCCAGGGACGTCCATTTGGCATCTCATAAAACTACAAGGACATCTCATGGTGTCCAAATAATTCTTGTGCCTTCTTGCTCATACCTAAATTTTAAATGCATTCAACACATTTTATCTTTGAATGTGTACTTTTATCTTTTTCATGCTTCAAAGGAGAGAAAGAGAGAGAGAGAAAAAGAAACTGTGTAAGTCTACTGAATTCCGAATGGGCCAGCGTTTAGAGTTGCCTAACTGAAGTGTCATCGGCACCCCCAACTCTGTCCTGGCCCCCGGGGTACAGAACAGCCAGGCGCAGCTCCCCGTGTACCGTGCAATGGCCACCTCAGCATCTCCCTTGCGCAGCCCTTTCACGGCAGCAAAGACCTGCAGGTGTTCCCCGACGGTCAGGCTGGGCCACAGCACGTTCTCCTGAGGACAGTACCCCAGGAAGCCCGGGGGCTCAGACGCACTGCTCCCTCTCAGTAGCACCTGTGAACAAATGGACAGAAGGTCACTGTCAGAACCGCACCTGCAGAGTTCCGCTTAGTATTGCTGTGGTATCTTTCTCCTGATTAGCTCTGGCCACAGTCTAGCCAGGGAGAAAGGATTCATTCAGAGAATGAACACACAGACCCAAGTGTATGCAGAGGTATCACATTATCCCGAGCGAAACATGCATTGAGATGCAAGTTAAAACCACAATATAATGTCACCTCACATCTGTTATAGTTGAGGTTGGCAAAAAGACCAGAGGTAAGTATGGGTGAGGAGGTAGAGAAAGATAATTTATGTTCATCGTGGATGGGACACATATTTCAGTATAGTCTTGTGGAACATAGGATGAAATCTCCTCAGGAAATGGAAACTGTAACATGTGACTCAGTAATCCTACTTCTGGGTATACAGCCCAAGGAATTAAAATCACTATGCCCAAGAGGTATCACATTCTCCTCTTTATTGCAGCACTATGCACAATAGGCAAGACATGAAATCGGTTTAATTGTCCAGCAATGGATGGATGGAGAGAAAAGCATGGTATCCATACACAGCAGAACACAATTCAGCCCTGCAAATAGGGAAATCCTATCATCTGAAACAGCATGGGTGAATCTGGAGGACATTTTGCTAAATATGACGGGTACTGAAATACAAACACTGCATACTTTCATTTCAGTGTGGACTCTTAAGTAGTTGAATTCACATAATTAGAAAGTAGGATGATGTTGGCCAGAGGACAGAAGAGGCAGCTGGGAGAGGACAGGGAAATGTTGATCCGAGCTTATATGGATTCAGTTAGAAAGGAAGACTAAGCTTTCATGATCTCTGGCGCAAAATGGTGACTATATAAATAATAATTCATTTAATGCTTTGGGTTGCTAATAGAAGAGATTTTAAATGTTTTACCACCACCAAAAAAAAAAAAAAAATGGTAAGTGTGGGAGGGGGTAGATTTTGTTAATTAGCCTGTTTTAACCATTCCATGCTGTAAGCAAATGGAAAGCTTCATACTGTACCCCATAAAGATATCCAAATATCAAAAACCAATAAAAATACATGTTAGAAGTTATTTTTAAAAGAAAAAAATGAAATGTTAGACTTGTTGAATCTTGAAATGATGACTGACATAATCAGTCCCCTCCATGGTATCAGACTAAAGCACCTTAATTTAATTCCCATACTTCATTTCATTCAGAAAACTTTATTTTTTTGTTTCTTCTGTGTTCCAGATGTTGAGCAAGAGCTTTGTCTAGAAAAAAGGGGAAACTCTTCAGCATCTCTGCCCCTAGGACATCTCTATTCTATGAGATAAGCCAATAACAAATAGGATAAACAGATTTTAATTGGCAGTCTGACATAAATTGGGGAAGCTGGGGTGGAGAAGAGCAGGGAAAGGGCTTTAGGTTGGGTGATCAGAGACATCTGAGGGCAGAGGGGGCCACTTCAGCAGAGGAGGAGGAGGTGGCAGTCATGGACAAGGTCTGAGGCAGGGATCTGGGGTAAAGCAAAGAGCAAGAGTAAAGCCCTGCGCAGGGTGAAAGCTCGGTGTGTTCTTGGACCCAAGGTCAGGAGCGGGGAGAGCAAGGGAGAAAGAGATGAAGCAAAAATACATGGAAGTCAGCAACCGCAGCCAGCCACAGGTCAAGGAGAGGTGACCTGTCAGGGTGGAGACTGCTGGGAGTATTTAGGAGAATAACCTGGTTGAAAAGCTTCATACTGGCTGATGTGATTGAGCTCATTTGATAGCACCTAAAGTAGTCAGTTTTATCACTTAGAGCTTTCATTTTGAAATATTTCATGCTAGTGGGCCAGTGAAAAACCTTGCCTTTACTACATGAGAAGCACAACCCTGAACTGATTTGAGGTCCTGCTCTCTCTGAGTTGGAGATTTGCTCTGAGTTGGAGTAAGCAGTCCAGTTAGGGTCAGCTGGGCCAGGAACATTCCAAAGAGGCCTCTTCCCATTGTCTGTTCTCATCGTGGCTTCAGAGAAACTGTGAACGCAGGACTTCTCCTCCCTCTTGCCTGGGATATTTGTCTATGAAGTTCATGGCTACACTTTCCCCCTGGATTGACCACTGGCACAGTCCCACAGACCTCAGCCTGCGCTCAGACACAGTTTTCAAAGGGGTTCTTAAGGTTTTTTAGTTCCTGTCACAGAAACTGGCGGAAAACATTTTGTCTCTGTCTTGTGATCTCTCTGTTTGATAATTCTGAGTTCTCTGACACCCTGCCTGGCCGCTGCTTCTGATGCAGGCAGTGCAGGGAGCAAACTTTATTCAACTTCACGGCCTTCCTTGTGTCTCAATTTCTTGGTATTCTTAGAAGCACTTCATCCCATCCGTACTGGGGAAGCCTCTAGTAAGATTCAGTACGCTCAATGACTTTTCAATTGGTGATAGCACATTAGGAAGGGCAGTAAACCAAAGATTTTGTTTTACAATTTACACAATTCTACTCAGTACTAAACATTAGGATATTGAAGTAACAATGTTCCTGAAACATAATCCATAAATCATGAGACCATGAAAACAGACTTTGTCATGATTTTGATAATGACTTGTATCCAGTTATGCTGGCCAACATTCCCTTTTAATTCACTTAGAAGAAATAAAAAGATAGTTAACACAGTTAACGAGCATCCGCACTCAATGACTAGCATTTGTGTGCTTTAAAATAATAATTTGTCAACTTGTTCTTCAATAGATTGCTTAAATAACAACAAATTTATTCTTCAACATATTGTTTAAGTAACTTTAAACAAATAGTGAATAACATTTTTCAGGTTGCCACCTGGATATTGTTGGATAAAATACTATTCGTCTTGTCCACCTACCTGACCTGCACTTGGTTTTGTTTCTCCAGTTATCATCCGGATGGATGTGCTTTTACCAGCTCCATTATGTCCCAATAATCCTAAAACTTCACCTGCAAAAAGAGAACACACATCAGTAATAATGACACTATCGTTGGAAGTCTCAGTGTGTGATATGTGCTTTATTTATAATAGTCCCTTTGATGGCCATGATGGCCCTAGAGGGGTTATTTTGAATCATTTCAGTTCGTTCCTTCCCAAGGGCCATGCACAGGAGGAATGACAGTTCCACACTTGGAAGGCAGCTGTGTCAAATGGGGAAGGCAGAAGTCAGCAGGGTGGCTCCTTTTACCCTCTGCCTCCAACATGTTCAAGATTTCAGAAAGTACTAGCCCAGCCCAGATCAGTTCTCTGGTGTATAATAGCGATCATCAGGAAAGCAATTAATGTGAAAAAAATGAAGAGGGCAATTGCAGTGGTTTATTCTAACACAAAGTTTGTTATTTTAATTCAGACCCCATTTCGTCCCTATTCAAGGAGAAATTAATTTTTGTTAAAGAAGTTCCTCAGCCCAAAACAGAAGAGTTACTGGGTCCAAACCTTTTCTAACACAGAAAGAGACATTTCTTGTTGCCGTCTTCTTCTTTTTCTTAAAAAAGAGGCATTTCTTCTCTGTATACTCCTTGCGTAGACAGCTAGCAATAATGGCAGGTTTCTGTAAATAAAAAGTCATACAAGGTTTTTTTTTAAAAAAAACCAGGACAAAATATAGACATTTTTATACTGATGATGCAAAAGCAATGAAGAATCAAACTGCTGGTATCTGAGCATAGATCAAGCCAGCGGCCCATCAGTGAGTTTTCCTACCATGAGTCAGTGGGAAAAAACATGCCTATTTCTTTTGAAAATGTCCTTAATGAAAGACTAAAAGGGGATCATTTTATTAAGGCTCAGTGTTTGGGTACTGATTGTCTTCATATTCTCAGTGACAAAGAAGAGAGGACACGTGAAGACTTTTGCTGTATATATAT